TATTCCTCTATCTTTCGGGTCAGGAGCCCCTAAGATCATCTCTTATCCAGAGACTTGCTACAAGTAATCACAGGATCTAACATATAGTTACACCTTATGTGTGGTAGCAACTTAAGGAAAGTAGACACAGGTAGTCTGGAAGAATGTCCGTGTGCAGGCAGGCATCCTCGTGTGCTGTCCCTCTCCCTCAGAGCGCATGGCAGTGCCTGCTCCTTCCCCAGCAATGTAGATGCAGGAATACAAGGGTGATATTTCTGAGCAGAGCAGCCAAGCCAAGAGTTCTTCTCCAGGGCTGGCCCCTCCCATGCCCTTTTGTCAGATGCCAGATGCCAGAGCTCTAGCATGAAAACGGGTCCAAGTGTACCACATGGTTTGCACAGGCTAATCACAGAAGACCGTGCTAGGCACTTTGGAAATCTAAGTTACCAGATGCCAGTCAGTGGTGCATCTTGCCAGCTGGCTTCTCTAAAGACAGCAGCTCCAGGCCTGCTTTGTCAGCCCCTTTCTGCACACTCACCATTGGATCTGTTCCAGGGCCCGTGTAGCAGGCTGCTCGTCCTGCCCCTTCCTTTCCCATGTTTGCGTCTCTGTGTGGCAGTGGGAAGTCCGGCTCATGCCAGCTTCAGGGTATGCATTTGATTGGGTCCCTGAACCCCCCCAGTGTCCGCCCTCTTGGACCATCCTGTATACGGATGACAACCTCCCTTGTCCAGCCTGAGGACCGGATGGGCCTTGCTGCCAAGCCCTGGGGAAGAGAGGCAGCAGCAGGACTGGCAGAAGGGGCCTGGACAGCTCTGGGATTAGGAGTTAGCTCTGGGATTGGGAACTCACGATTGTTCTGAGTTGTACCCATGAGCCCAGCACTCCCACCCACACACCAGTTGCTGGATGAGAACCATCCTGGGAAAGGCCAGGGCAAGGCAGCTTTGGCAGCTAAGGCTGACCCTCCTGCGGTTGCAGCTGGAAGCTGTCTGCCAGCAGCTTTGACAAGTGATCCCACCATCCAGACCCAGCACCTTCCTGGGTCAGTCCTTCTACCACCACTGTGGCTTCTTGACAGAGTCATACAGAAAGGACAAGAAAGAAAAAAAGCCATCGACTATTTTGAGACCATGCTGTAAATCTCATGTTCCTACATTTAAATAGGCTTTTCCTCATTATGAGAAATTTCACTAAAACATTTATGTCCACTGAATCACTCTGAACTAGGAAGGAAAAAAGCCATCCTCCTCCCATTTCCCACAGAAAGCAGGCCACTCCCCCCCCCCCCATCCTGTCCCTCTGATGTGCTCTGGTAATTTGTTATTTGAGGATTTGGTGAGCATATATATTGTCTTGAGTTTCCTCCCACTGTGACATCTAAACTGACTTTCAGGACTCGCTTTTTTTTCTTTTGTTGTTTTTTTTAAAGGATTTGAGGAATCTTGATACTGGGTTCTTTTAAAATAGTACCTTAAGACCGTCAAAGATACAGTGGATGAAACTGCAAGAAAAACAAAACAGACCCAGACACTATTTTAATTCATTTTCCACCATGTGAGGGACAGGCAGTGTTTACAGAGCTGCGCTGATTTTGCTGTGAAATGCACCAGAGGAAGCAAAACCCCTCCTCCCCAGAAGTACATCCTAGAGGTCCTCCTTGGGGACACATGGCGAGAGGAAAGTTTTTGTATAGGGTCACTAGAGGTTCTAGGAAAATCAACAGTTGTGCAAGGATAAAGGATTTAAAGCACGATTTTATCTACAAAGCATTGCTTTTTAGTTCTAAATACACAGAGTCAAGCTGGGCACATCAGAGAAATAAAGGAAAGGGAGGGCAGAGGTCCTAGCGTATGAATGAGTAGTGAATAAATTCAAAGTGCTTTTTCAAGGTAGAATTTGGTTGTTTTGCTGTTGGAACTTTAAAAAATGATTTAGTAGGTAAAATATATTTTTCCAGTGTCTGCAACAACATTAAACAAAAACAACAAAAACAGGTTGTAACACACTCACTAGTAGTTTTTTCTGTTTATTTCCATCATCATGTTACTGTTCGTGAACCAGTCAAGTTTTAAACTGAATGTCTTGCCTACAAATTACAAAAGTGGCATCCCCTTTTAATACTAATACTAGCACAAATTAATTGCCTGACATTCCTGTTACACACTGTTGTGGACTGAATGGAGAAGTGTGAGAAACAGCAGGTTAGAGGAAGATGGTGTTTGCCTCACCAGTTGCATGTTGGCTTACCCAGGAAGTTCATTCTTCTTGATTGTAATTGGTTCTCCAAAAATTTAAATAGGTGTGTCTTCCAGAGTTACCAGTAGCTGCTGTTTTTCTGCAAAATAAATTGATCAGGATTCCAATTTAAAAATGAGGACACACACATTGAAGGCAGAGTTTCATAGGCAGCTATTTTAATGCACTCTCTTACCATTGGCTTCTACATTTAGTGGTCATGAACTAAACAAAAACCTGTGATCTGGTTCCAACTGGAAAGTTTGTCATTTTGCACCCATGGTAGATTTAAAACAGTATTGAAAAGTAACTGAAACTTATTTTCAAATGTTTATTATTTTCATTGATTATATCATATTACCATAAATACCATAAATACTTGGATAAAAGCTTCACAAACTTAAAAACAAGAACCATCCATTCTGCTTTCTGTAGGTCTAATTGTTATTTCTATGCTGATGATTTCATTGTATGTTTTTTCTTAAAAGCATTTTCCCTCTAAATTCTTTGTTATCCTGGAGGGTGCAGTTAATTTTTATTTTCCCTCAGTATTTATACTTTTTTTTGTGGAAGTGCTGAGAGTTGAACTCAGGCCTTCACACTTATTTTTTACTTTGAGATGAGATAGCACTAACTTTTAAACTGTCCAGCCTGGGCTCACACTTAACTATCTCCGTGCCTCAGCCTCCCAGAGTGCTGGAATTACAAATATGTGCCACGATACTGAACCTTAGTAGTCACACTTCGGCAACGTGGATTGTAATTTCCCTCTGTTGCAACCAAGTAACAGGGAAGACTGCAGGAGATTAATTTTTAAAATCATAGCAGTAAAGTAGCCATCTCTGTAAGCAATGTTAGTTGTAATTTAAGATTTCTATATCATCAAATCAGTTCACTGTGGTAAGTATAAGAAGTTTTTGAGTGTCAGGTCTCATTTTGTGGGTACCTTGAAAAGTTTGGATATAGCTATCGTAGCCTTAGTCTAAATTGCTCTTGGGAAGAAAAGGGAAAAGTACTTAAGTTAACTACAGAGGATTGTTACAAAATGTAATCCAAAAAAAGGGGAGATGTAGCGAGCAGCACCATGATCAAGAAGAAAGCTTTGTGGGTCTGAAGACCCCTGTTCTCGTCCTTCCCTTGCCTACGTGAGATACGAGAGTTGTGTTAGTCAGCGCAGTCTTCCCCAGGAGAGTACAGCAGTCATTCATTTTCCCGCAAGTCTGGAGGGTACAAGTCCAAGATCAAGGTGCTGGGGGGGCTGGTGTCTCCTGAGCCTCCTTACCGTATGGGTGGCTGTCATCTCACAGTGTCCACACATGGCCTGTGCCTGTGCACACCTCTCTGGTATCTCTTCTTCCTCATGTCTGGACATCAGTCCTGTTGTACCAGGGCCTGCCATGTGGACAATGTTTAACCTTTATTTCCTTATAGACCCCATTTCCAAATACAGTCATGTTGGGGTTAGGGCTTTAACCTATGAGATGAGGGAACATAGTTCATTCCATAACAAAAATGAAGGTTTGTTGAGGCCAGCCTGGGGTAGAAAGTGAGTTCAAGATCAGCCTGAACTGCATAATGAGACCCTGTCTTTAAAAAAAAAGGAAAGTCTTTTAGGTGAGGTCCCTTGGTTAAATTAACTACCCCTCCCTTTTTTGTTTGCCTGTTTTGTTTTAAACTAGAGCGATGCGTTTCATTATTCCTCATTTATAAATAAAGACCCATCACTTTCCAAAGACTTCAGTGGAATGGGAAATATAGATTTATACAAAGAACTGTTGATTCTCTTGCCTGTTTTCTGAACTGCGCTGTGACCTTACCCACTTCCCGGCACTCCATTGAGATCTGAGTCCCTGAGGAGGTGCTGAAGGTGTGCTCGAAATTTCAGAAAGAGTCAGATGCACAGCTTCATAACGAGGAAGTCAAAGCAAGACAGGAGGGACAGTAGAGCACGTGCCTTCTGTAGGAGCAGTTTCTGTTCACAGAACACCTGTCACTGTACCATCCTAGAAAGCACAGGACTTAATCACTTCATGTGGCTCCTTGATACTCCTGACTTAGAGAAGCTTTTTTCTGTAGCTGTTGCTAGTACAATGGAAGTCCATTATGGTTCCTTGGGCCCCAGAGCCCTAGCTGCCTCCTGGTGTCTACAGTGCCAGGCACCCTTAGGTGATCTGTTCATCTTGTGTGGCTGTGCTACAGTTTCTGGTTTTTGTTTTCCTCCTGGGAAATCCATTGTGTTTGTCTCCTTTTCAATATGATCTTGCTTACCTCTCACCGTTGCGCACTAATGACATTTATGAATAATGGAAATTGCCCATGTCAGCAATAGGATATGTGGTGTTGACAAAGATGTCATTTCAATGTTCTGAATCTGCATGATTTTGCAAAGCAGAATCATGATCCCATTTGCACCTCTATTTTTAGAAGTGAAATACAGAGGCACAAAAGTATCTGATTTCGTTAGCCTCATTTTGGGAACCATGACTATTGGGTATGTACTATGTACACTGATACTGGGTATGGGATTACAGACTGCAGAGAGAACATGCTAAGCAAGAATCTTTAATCTTTACAACTGTTAATCACATGATTTTCTGCGTGTGAGTTTGCATTTCTTAAAAGTATTTTTGTGAGAGTATAAGTATATAACAAACAAGTAAAAAACACACAGTATAGTTTGTTACTAGTAAATGAAGTGACTGCTATTAGCAAATGAATGTGCTGTGTGGAATAAGTATAAATAATAAGTTATTTCACAGTGCTTTGCTTTTCTTCCTTTGTAGGTACAGAGGCAAAACCTATAGAGCTGTGGTCAAGATTGTGCGAACATCTGACCAGGTAGCAAACTTCTGCCGGCGCGTGTGTGCCAAGCTAGAATGCTGTCCAAATTTGTTCAGTCCTGTGCTGGTTTCTGAAAACTGCCCAGAGAACTGCTCCATCCACACCAAAACCAAATACAGTGAGTATGAGTGATGAAAAACAACCCCCACCACATCAGGCCTCACTCACAGTGGGATGTTATTTGGCTTCTGTTTTGTTTTTAACCTTTGGAGTAGTTTTTCATACAAATTGTCCTGGAAAGTTCTTTAAGATTTGCTGTCGCAGATCCGTGTGTGTTTTTAAAGCATAAGGAAAGGAAAAGATGGCTCCAAATAGAATGGATTATCCATGCAGGCTCGGAAAAGGAGAGGTGACAATGTCATAAATTTACTACCATGAATTCCAGAGGAGTGATTGATCCCAAAGAAATATGGCTGGATAAAGGGCATGATAAAATGATTATAGTGATACAATACTTGGGACCTTGAATTGATTTCTTGTCTTTATGCTGAGAAGTTGTAATGATTCTTCTGTTGTTTTTCTTGCCACTTGCTTGCCACAGTTTCTCACCTGCATAGATGTAGCCCTCAGAACTCTCTCAGACATTGGAGGATTCATTCAGAAGCACCTATTCCTTTTTTTGGTCCCAGATGCCTTGGTTTGCCCATTGGCAAGGCATGACCCAGCATTGGCCCCATTCTGTCAGCTGTTAGTATGTGCCACTTCTGCTCCCATCACATGTAGATACCTCTGCCTTGGGCTGTTTCTCTTCCCTTCCTCTGTTCTCACTGTTTTCTTTTCCTTTGGGTAGCTACCCCACTTGCTCCATCTCTGATATCTCAAGCTCTAAAAACTCTTGATTCCCAACTTCTAATCTTCCTACATCTCCCCTCAGTTGTATTATTCTGGGGCAATAACTTGGGAAATTGGCTCTTCCATCCTACATTCCAGCCACATGATTGATGCTCTGTGAGACCGGGCATTTGTCAGCTTGTGTGTTGGAACAAGGAATCCGAATGCACTGAGGCCAGTGTTCAGAATGCAACTTTCCTTGTTTTGTCTGTTTCTGTCTGTACACACATGTACACCCAAGCCCATCTTCTACTTCCATTCCCCTATCAGTTGTTTCTCATTTTAGCTGGCACACATGGCGTAGTCTCAGGTGAGAACCATGCATGTTTTTATGTCACCTGCTTCCCGAAGAGCTCTTTTCCACATCACCTTTGGCCAAGGCAGGGATTCACTGGGCCCCGTCTGCTCCTACACAGAGCACAATGTGACTGGCAGCTGAAGTTCATCCTACAGATTGGCTTCCCTGTACTTCTGGTACAAAGGCAATAGGGGAGAAGAAGCAGGCCATTGTTATCTCAACTGCAGGGAGGTGAAATGGGCTTAGAGATCATTCTGGGTCTGGGTTTATAAAACTTAAAAACCCTAAGATCCTATTGGTCACCTTCGAGCAATGTTGCTACAGATTGAACCTGAGCTCCAGTGGGAGGATAACAGTGCTGTTTGGGTAGATTCTGGAAAAATCAGGGCAGGGACCACTCATGTAATGCTGGGGTTCAAAAAGTGTGCAAACTTTGGTTGCATTCAGTGAGCCCATTTCTGATTTCTGGCTGCCAGTTTCTGAAACCCAGTCTATGTCTCTTTTGCCATGCCTGCTGGCGCCTTTGAGCAGAAGCCAAAGCTTAGTCACTTGTACCTGTAGCTGGAGGTAGGAGAGAAGCTGCATTCATCCCATGGCAGTGTGCTTCTGCTCATCCAGGAGCATTGTCCTGGTACAGTTGAGTCTGGTAGACTGTTCCAAGCTCTTCTGCCACCCTGAATCTTGATGAAAGAGAGCAGGGATACTTTCTTTTGAGTTCTAGGACTGCTTCTGTGCACTTTGTGGACAGTTTTTATAAACATGCTCCTTGTGGACTCAGTGCAAGTGTAGGGAATGCAGAAGTCTGAGCTGCAAGGAATCTGTGTGGCTTAGCTCTGATGGTCTCATCTTGCAAACGAGGATATTGAGGTCTAGGAATGTCAGTGAGCATTGTCTGTGTGACGAAGCTAATGGTTTGGCTGGTGGCATGTATGAAATGGCATTTGCCTGAACAGTAGGGGCAGGCACCATAACCAAGGAGCTGCACATTTTGATGGATCTTTGTTTTATCCTGTTTATTTATTTATTTATTGTCTCACTTCATCCATGGGTAAGAATTATTGAGTTGCATTAGGTTCTTTCACGGGCTGGTGGCATCCTATCGGGACAGTTGAGCTTTCAGGTAGTAAGTAATCCTTCTTCTTCATGGTCATAATTGAATCCTGGGTCCCTCTTAGTGCTATAATTAGTCAATTGTACATTTAACTTACAAAAACATTAGTCATCCTTAAAATTGATAATAATTTTCAAACAGCTTAAAATGTTGGTACATACATACATTCCTGCTGCAGAAATAAAAAGTGGTGAGTTTCCCTTGAATCAGAAGACAGTAGGGTTCACATGTGGTGGTACAGAAAGAATGCCATTTGAATATGAATTTGGTTGTTCTGCTTAAGATATTAGTTTGTCTTGGTCAGATCAAGAGATAGAAGAATCTATCATGACTCAAAATGTGTATCCAAAAGTGCCTGTCAACTGACAGTTCAGTATTGGAAGGAGATATCAACACGTACCAGTGGAAGGGACTGTACCTCCACATGTGGTATTTGGAGCTCAGAAAGGGAAAAGATGAACCTCCAAAAGGACTACAGGAACCTTTGACAACCTTTACCTATCTGTCTGGTTGGACTTCCATAACAGAATGCCCCAGATGCCAGATGGCTTAAGCAACAGGTATCTGTGGCCCACAGCTCTGTGGGCTGCTGCCTAAGGTGTCAGCAGGTTTGGTTTCTGGGGTGTTCTCAGCTCGCAGACTCCTGCCTCCTGCTGTGTCCTCATGTGGGGTATTCACTGAGTGTGCACATCCTGGGGTCTCTTTCTGTTCTCATAAGTACACAGTCCTGTTAGATTAGGACCCCATCCTTATGATTTCATTCAACATTAATTACCTCCTTTCAAGGCCCTTCTCCTGATACACTCATACTAGGATTAGGTCTTCAACATATGGGTACTGGAAAGACAGTAAGTCACTAACACTTTCTAACTTTGAAGCATCAGAGAGATGTTTATTCTGTGCAGCTGTTTTCTCAGACCATGTTCCTGCAATACAAATGAGATGTCAAAGGTACATTCTCCAAAAAGAAATAACCATTCTCTCCTCTTTTTTCCCTCCTCTGTCCTCCCTTCCTGTCCTGTCTTTGTCCCCATACATGTGTGTGTAGCCTAAACATTTTTAAATCATCTTTTCTCTTGGTAGCTTATTATTATGGAAAGAGAAAGAAGATCATTAAACCCCCAATTGGGGAAAGCAACATTGAAAGCGGGCATCCTAAACCATCTAGAAGAAGGAAACGGCGAAAATCTATGTTTGTGCAGAAGAAACGAAGGTCCTCCACTGTGGACTTCACAGCAGGCTCTGGGGAGGTAGGTTCTGCCCCACAGCATTTTCCAACCTTTGGTTTTGACATTCAGGCTTTGCAGCCAGGGGTCTGCTGCACTGGTGAAGTCTGCTTGTAGAATGGTTTAAAGCATGAACTAAGGAGCCTCCTCCGCTTCCTAACCACGTGCTCAGCTGCTTTGGCTCAGAAAGGGTAGCATTAGGACTTGGTAAGGACTATCCACTGAGTCTTTAGAGGGTGCCTAGGACAAGCCCTGGGAGGGACAGGAGCTGGGATCAGATCCCACCGTGTGGCTGTGGGGGCAGGCTGGGCCACCTGTTGCATCCACACGCATCCCTTTCCCTCCTCCCACTTCTGTAGCACATCTCTCTTCTTCTCAGGAAAGTGACGAGGAGGATGCAGATGCCCTGGATGATGACACTGCTAGTGAGGAGACTGGCTCTGAGCTCCGAGATGACCAGACAGACACCTCCTCAGCAGAGGTGCCCTCAGCGCGGCCCCGGAGGGCTGTTACCTTGCGGAGCAGTTCAGAGCCCACCCACCGGCCGCCTGTGGAGAGGGCCCGAAGGGGCCGTCCAGTGCCCCCTACTCCCTCTACCGATGAGGGGGACAAGGGCCCGCCTGCCAAGCCTGAGGGCTCAGAGGTGAGCTTAAAGTAGAGAGTGTGCCAGTCCTCTTTATGAAAAACATGAAGCCAGGTGTGGTAGGGCACACCAGCAATCCCACACTCTGGCAGAAAGATCACAAGTTCAAAACCAGTCTAACCAATGCAAAGTCTCTGAGCCAATCTCCAGTGTCACAGGGGGGAAAAAAAAACAAAGGAGAAAAACATGAATTGCAGTTTGGGGCAGATTTTGGGGAAACCACTTTAAAATATCTAAAAAGATAGCAGCTGCTCCAGAGAAGTTCCTAAGTGTAAAAGGCACTCATCTCACCTTGTGGTAGATCAGGTCATCCACCATGAGAAAGGAATCCTGAGGGCTGGGACAGTGACTTCACTGGGCGACATGAATACCATTAGGGCTTTTTGTCAGGAGGGCAGACAAGTCAAGTCCTCCAAGTCTCTGTGAACACTAGGCTTCCAGAATTTCATCTTGTCTCTGCCCCTGCATTTTGCTCTTTCTCTTTCCTTATGAGGCTTCTCTGTGATATCCTCAAGTAGTGAATCTCTGTGCCACACTTCCTCTAGACCCAAAGTTGGCAGCTAGTCCCCTGAAAAAGTGATTGTCACTATTATCACCAAACCCAGTGACTAATCCAACTGGAGTCAGTCTGTAGGCCCAAGCTGTTTCTAGCTGAGAACTTAAGATAGACCATCACTGAGCTGTTTGGTAACTTTTAAGGCACAAGCATTACTGTGGCTTAGGAGAAACTAACTGAGACAATTACTATAAGACACCCCAAAGACTGAGTTACTGTGACTTGTTCAGGAAAAGGAGGTGGCGGCTCTGGTCTACACAGCGACTGGGGCCTGGAAGGAAAAGAAAAAGAGCCTGCTGACCATACTGGGTGTAGTGACTATCTCCTGCTCACTCTTCCCTGCAGGACACAAAACAGGAGGATGAGGAAAGGCTCATCCTGGAGAGCAACCCTTTGGAATGGACAGTCACCGACGTGGTACGGTTCATTAAGTTGACAGACTGCGCCCCCTTGGCCAAGATCTTCCAGGAGCAGGTACATGTCTTTTGATGTGGCCCTTGGTTTGTATTAGGAGGTTCCAGATTTTATGCAACCTCTTATCTTTTCTTGGCTTCTGCATCACTGCTAGGTGGGAGTCAAAGTCCCAGCTGCAGATGACACTGCATAATGCCTCCTGAGTACTCCTGGGCAGCTGTGGGAGATAGCCTGCTCTCTGCAGGATCCATTAAAACCTTGTTCCCACTTCCTACTGGGCTCACTGACATCATAGGGATGAGGTTCCTCTCATAGTACCCTGATGACTGTCTGTGACTGACTGGTGGGCGTCCAGGCTCAGTCTGCAGTGATCCACTGTCGGGGGCTCACTGTTTACTGCCAGACAGGCAAAACAAAATCCAAGCTTTAGCAGGACTTAGTGTTATAAATTTGTAATCTCAGTGCTTGAGAGGCTAAGACAAAAGGATTGCATGTTCCCACCCAGCATGAGCAATTTAGAGACTTACCAAGAGCGAGGCTTGGAAATACAAGATAAAAAAGGGCCAAGGATGTAGCTCAGTGTGAAGGTCCTGGGTTCAATACCCAGCACCGAGAATAAATGAATAAGTAAATAAAAGAACATCTCAGTTCTCAGCTTGGCCTTCTCAGATGCTGCCTTGTTGGGGAACTCAGGTACCTGACTGCATCCTAGCTGAGTTGCTTGCTGGGCCTTATATCTAGTATAGACAGGGCTGGACCAGATTTCCCTATGGTGTTTGTCTGCCAGTAGAGCTGCTGGTTTCTGCAGGCTTTTTGTCTTGCTAAACTGCCCCTTTGCTAGTTCTCTGGCTATAAAACACAGGCTTTGAGTGGGCCCTCTTATCAGTGCCTGTCTGGAAAATCTGGTCACCAAGTTCTTTTACTCAAGTCCTGATGATATGATCCACACAAACACCACAAAAATAAAAAGTAAAAAATTCTGCACCATGTCATTAACTCAGATCCGATGGCCCCTAGCTGGTCTGCCCTTTTTGCTTCACCTTTCAGAGTCTTCTGTTTGGTATATAGATAATGTCAAGTGGTTTTCGTTATGCTGTGCAGGAGAAGTAGGAGAAAAGGTGTCTGCTACACCAGAATTGAGTGGCAATAGCCACTCTCTGTTTATTGTGTTCATTGAATGCTGAATAAGTTAATGTTTTCTTAGCTGTCTTTATTTCTTTAACCATGAGATAGTGCTAACCTGTGGTCTAATGACAAGTATAACAGTAATTGATGCAATCTATACCTAAGGAAGTTTATAACCTAATAAAAGAAGTTACTATAGTTAGCTGAGACATAAGACATGCCATGATGCGCTATGAAAAGGTTTTCATTTATATTTTCCCTTAAAATAATAAGAAAAGAAATTGCCATTCCATACACATACCACCACGTACCATTCTTCACTCGGCTTGTCTGAAAAGTTCACGTGGAAGCCTGTGGTTCTTTCTGTACCATGTGTGTGCCATTTGTTGAAATTTCTCACAGTGTTCCCTAGTGTAGAAAAACTCTTTTAAGACTTCGTGTTTTTTTAGCAGTATTTTTAATACAATATTTTAGTACAGTAGATTTGAGATATGTTTATCCAGTCTTTTTTTAGAATTAACAAACCAAAACTCTAGGAAGAGAAGTTTTCAAGCATTAAATAAGAAGGAAAAAGAATATTTCTGGTTCTCATGCACCCAGGAAAGTTCTCAGCTTTTCTCCCAAGTCAGTGCAGTGCTGACTTATACAAAGTGAATCAATGCAGTCCCCTGAGGAGAGTGTTGTGGTTCATTCAGAGTTCTCACATCCTGTATCTGGGGAAGTCCATGAGGTGACATGATCATCTGATCCACCCTGAAACCTTATGCAGACACCCAGTAAGTTCATGCTGTAGGAATGAATGGAGCCAGGCAGAGGGTGACCTCCCTGTTTTCTGACATTTGCTGCACTTCCTCGGTGTGTAACACTGAAAGATAAGTAAAGAGAAGTCCTTTTTTGACCTAAAGTTCCCGGGTAATGACCTTGTCCCTTCATTATAACACAAACAGAAAAGAGAGAATTACAAGTCATGTTGGAGGTGATGTGATACAGAACTTGTTTATGCCCACACAGCATTTTCCCTGTCTGCTATTTATGGCTAGTAGGACTGCCTCCCCAAAAGCAGTGCATTCAAATATATGACAAATAGTGATTGCACAGTTTAAATATGCCAATATGTATCTGTTCGTTCACATATACAAATGACACCTGTTATGTGTCTTACAATATCCAAAAAGGGGTTATGGAATGTAGTTCTGTATATTACTGTTTTTCTTTTATTTTGTTTTAGTCCAAAAGCCATTTCAACTAAGAAGTATTTTTTCAGTAGAACCGGAACAAAACGCACAGATTTTCTCACTTCTAGTGTGCAAGTTAGGTGTGGAGCTTGAATCCATTCTACCTTGTACAAATTCCTCAGTAACAGGAAGTAAAACAGAGCTGTTTTGGGGAAAAGGAGAATATACTACTTACACAAAATCCTATTTTATTCAACTCCTAAGTCCAATTTATAACAATGTCTCAGGACATTTCAAAGAAGTGGAATGTTACTGGCATGTTCCCAACTATCAAATGAAGCCTTGAGTAGGGCACGCTCTCCATCTGTAGCATCAGTTAAAAGCTTTGTCCATCATTTGGACTTTTTCTTCCTATGAGAGAGAAAAATAGGTAGGCATTAATTGGTCAAGAGTCTTAATCCCATCTAATTGTACATTTCACATTAGGCAGTTTCACCTGTTGTAATAAAGAACTGTTGCCCGCTGGGCTGTCTGCAGTGCATGGGCACTCAGGTCCTTTCCCGTTCCATCAGACCTTTAATTACTCATTTTTACTAATTTGTTCTGACATCTTTTAGCCTAAATGCCATGGCTCTGATATGGCAAGGCCTCCAGTGAGGCACTGCAGGTGATTGTCTGGGCTTTTAGATGAAGTGGAAGGAGCCCGCAGGCTGTACTCACCTGCCAGTACATGAGATCGCAGCACGCACAGGATAATAGCTGTGAGTGTTCACGCCTCTGGGTGTTATAAATTCAGAGACTGTTATAATCACCAGGAGCGTTTGCAAAGATTATAAGCGTCTCATTATCAACATACATGCCTTTTATTTCTGAAATGTTATGGCAACCTTTTAAAAAAATCTATACCTATAATTTCATGCTGCAAACATGTACATAATGCAGTAAAACCACACATCCATAACAAAAAAAAAATCCCACAAGACTATAAATAACATTGGCCAATTCATTCACCTTTTGTGAATTAGTCTGCTTCTGTACTATAAGCAAACTGTCCAAATTAGTAATTTAATAAAAAATATGTTCAGGCTAATTTACAGGCTGACTTTTGATTGCAACTATTCTCTCCTCTTTTTACTTCTACAAACTTGAATATCTCTATTAAGGGACTGCCAAGTCCTAAATGGAACTCTGTTATCAAAAGAAATGTAATTTTGATATGTGTCAAGAATAACTTCCATGTTATATATTCATTTCTTTAAAATCAGTAGTCTATTTATGGCGATTTTTTTTAATGCAAGTGAGCTGTCCACAAGTCTGAAGTCTGTGGGACCATGTTTATAAAAATTAAGTCAGCTGTGAGGACTGGTATGTTACCTACATAATACTTGAAGAGAAAAGAACCTTTTATACCAAAACAAAGGCTCCCTCTCACAGGGCACTAATGTTGGCCAAACTCTTTTGCCAAGTATTGTTTCTGTTCACACAGCCTCCCTCCTGCCTTATCAGAGGCAGAGCAAGGGTAGGTGGAGTCTGCAGCACGGGAGTCTGATACAGGGTTAGCTGTCCCTCGAGGTCCCCAGAGTCCTTCAAAAGCAAGGACATCTGACAGTCAAGTGGCTAAATCTGGCTGCGTTCAGCAGGCAGCATGGCAGCAGATGCATGATTTTATTCTTGGTAGCATGGTCTTCTCACAATGGTAATATCTAAGAATTCTGCTTTGTATCATTTAGGGAAGATGAAAAATTATTGAATAGAGTCCAGAGGTGGCAGGAGCTAGCAGCTGCAAGCCAAGCTACATTTTTAACTACTTCTCCCCTTTGGCTGTCAGGACTAATTTTTGGTTGATTCTTCCCATATAAAAAGCAGGATGGAGGATCTCTATATTTAATGAGATAGTTTAACTTCTAACTCCCATGTTCTTACAATCTACATCTTCCTGCAAATAGGAGTTTCTTTGCAAACAAACCTCAGCTCATGTTGCTTCCTCAGAACTTAACCCCAGATGTACAAGGGGCCAAGGCAGAGGATGTAGGTGAGCCAGCTCTAACTGAAGTTCAAAGGCATGGCCTTCATGTGCTTCTGTTCCATGCTGCCCATGCATAGAGTTTAGTCCAAGGGAGTGTTAGCTGTGCTGCATTCTTCACCTGCAATGACAAAGCAGAGACCCTTTACATAAATTGTTTTCACCCCTGCTGCTGGCTGATCAGGAAGGAGCCAAGCTGCAACGAACTTCCCATTCCCTTTTCCTCCTGGAGAGACGAGGACAGAACATGTGGCCATGTGCTGGGGCCTAGGCTAGAGGGGCATCTGATCTGAGGTCAGAGAATGCCAGGTCAAGGTCCCTGATTATCACTGTCACATGTCTCCCCCTATGGCTGTGTAGCTCTGCCTCTCGCCTAGTACTGTTACGTCCGAGGCTGCATGCCCCTCCAAGAGGCACACAGCCTGGCAGGTAGAGGAGCCCCGTCCACATTTAGGAAGAGTGCAAGGAGTAGAGTGTTTCTTTGAAAAGTTATTTGAAGCTCCCCAATATCCTTTATGCAAGCTTATTATAGAATCAGTTTTTCATTTTTTTATACTCACATCATTTTCTTTTGAAGCCATCATAACTGAAAACTGGAATATGTTTGACTTGCATAATTTAAAGAACATATACACAGGTACCTAGTATTTATCTCATTATTTTTTATACTGTATTTGCTAACATGATTTTACATAACTCAAATTAAGTTTGATAGTTATTCTATCACCCACATACCA